GTCATTGTTTTAGCTGGCCTGGGCCGGTTTCGAACCCGCCAGCTTCAGTGTATGTGGCTGGCGCCCTGCTCACTGAGCTATGGGTGCCACCCAATGCCCAGCTGTTTTTAGAGACAGGATCTCACTCTTAATCAGGCTAGTCTCGAAGTCCTCAGCTCAGGAGATCTATTTACCTCAGCCTCCCCACAGTGCTGGGATTACAGGTGTGAGCCACCAGGCCTGGCTAATTTTTGTATTTTGAGTACAGATGGAGAATTGCTCTTGCTCAGGCTGGTCTGGAACTCTTGAACTTAAAGGGATCCTCTTACCTCAGCCTCCCAGGGTGCTAGGATTAAAGGGGTGAGCCACCGTGCCTGGCCAAGTTTAGTGATTATTTTTATTTATTTATTTTTCTTTTAGAGACAGAGTCTTTTTTGTATTGTTTTTGAGACAGAGCCTCGAGCTGTCCCCCTGGGTAGAGTGCCGTGGCATCACAGCTCACAGCAACCTCCAGCTCCTGGGCTCAAGTGTGTCTCCTGCCTCCACCTCCCAAGTAGCTGAGCCCACAGGCGCCTGCCACAACGCCCAGCTAATTTTTGGTTGCAGCCATCATTGTTGTTTGGCAGGCCCAGGCTGGATTCGAACCTGCCACCTTAGGTGTATGTGGCTTGCGCCTTAGCCACTTGAGCCACAGGCGCCAAGCCTAGAGACAGAGTCTTAAGCTGTCTCTCTGAGTAGAGTGCTCTGGTGTCACAGCTCATGGCAACCTCTGACTTTTGGGTTCAAACAATCCTCTTGTCTCAGTTTTTCTATTTTTAGTAAAGACTGGCGTGTGTGGGGTGTCTTGCTTTTGCTCAGGTTGGTCGTGAACTCCTGAGCTCAAGCAATCCACCTGCCTCAGCCTCCCAGAGTAGATTATAGGTGTGAGCCACCACACCCAGCCCAAGTTTAGTGATTTGTTTATTTGTTTTTAGAGTCGGAGTCTCACTTTATTGCCCTTGGTAGAGTGCCGTAATGTCATAGCTCACAGCAGCCTCCAACTCCTGGGCTTAGGTGATTCTCTTGCCTCAGCCTCCCGAGTAGCTGGGGCTACAGGCACCTGCCACAATGCCTAGCTATTTTTTTTGTTGCAGTTTGGCTGGGGCCGGGTTTGAACCTGCCACCCTTGGTATATGGTGCCGGTGCTCTACGCACTGAGCCACAGATGCTGCCCAGTTTAGTGATTATTAACATACCTTTATATGTGGCTCAGTGCCCGTACCACAATGGTTACAGCACCAGCCACATACACTGAGGCTGGCCAGTTTGAACCCAGCCCTGGCCAGCTAAGCAACAATGACAACTGCAACAGAAAAATAGCCAGGCGTTGTGGTGGGTGCCTGTAGTCCCAGCTACTTGGAAGGCTGAGGCAAGAGAATCGTTTAAGCCCAAGAGTTTGATGTTGCTATGAGCTGTGATGCCACAGCATTCTACCTAGGGTGAGACTCTGTCTCAAAAAATAAAAAAAACCTTCACGTGGATAACTCTTGTCAACTAGTGGCCAGAGTTTTCTATTCCCTAGTGCTGTGGTTATGTGGTTTGCCAGTAGCAAATTGTGGAGAGGTTTTTTTTTTTTTTTTTTAGACAGTCTCACTGTGTTGTCCTGGGTAGAGTGTCATGGCATCACACCTGACAGCAACCTCAAACTCTTGGGCTTAAGCAATTCTCTTGCCTCAGCCTCCCAAGTAGCTGGGAATACAGGTGTCTGCCATAATGCCTGGCTGTATTTTGGTTGCAGTTGTCATTGTTGTTTAGCAGGCCTGAGCTGGGCTCAGACCTGCCACCTTTGTTATATGTGACCGGTGCTCTACTCATTGAGCTTCTCTAAGCCATGGAGAGGGTTTTTATTTTTACTTTTTGTGAAGAGGCTTTTACAAATTCAGCTGTGACAGGCTAGATAGGGACTTGCTGCTGGACTTTCTCTAGGATTACAGGGAGCAGCCTAGGTAGAGGTTCTCTCCCCAGAGGGGTTTCTTTCCCCATAGGGGTCTGAAGTCTGAGCTTCCCTAGTACAGACCTGGTTGCCAGCCTGGAGCATTGTGGCAGAAGGTAAAAATTCAACAATATCTATAGTTTCCAGCCTTCCTGTTCCACCTTGGAC